CCTTCTACAGTGTCTGCAGGAATACTAAAAGAAATGTAAGCATTTAACTGGACTGATGGAAGAAAAATGTTTAAGTCTTAGCAAAACAAGGACACCTTGGTTGCTATTCTGCAAAATCAGTCATACACTGCTGATATGGGCTACTTAAAGATTGAGGAACCATTATAAATCATCCTGAATCCAACTTGTTATTAAATATGTCAAGAAGTGGTGCCCACTGGGTTGATAAAGGTGACATTCCAGATATGCTCTTCAGCTATTATTTTCTGTTTCTTCTTTTCCTAAAAATTCAGAGAAATAAAGACAGGAATAATGCGCAACAAGGGATGAAAATTAAATCCTTTCTGGCGGCTTCTGGTTGTGGACAGATTCAGAATATTTAACAGATATGTCCTTGTTAGGAGCATAACCAAATCAGCAGTGATAAGTAATGTTTTCAGAAGCCAGCCCATCGCATTTGTACAAGGAATTCAGAAGACTGCACTGGCTGGAAGTTGGGAAATCTGAGACGTTGCTGTCGGGGAGCAGTAGAGTGAGGCAGCTCCCTGGGGCTTGGGCCACTGGGGGCTCCCCCAGGTGGGTGATGGCAGGGCCAGCCAGGGGCCACTGGGGCAGCCCCGGGCATCGGACACCTCCCTGAGGATGGGGCCAGGCCGAGGGGGGACCCGGCTTGGTGGGGCCCATGGCCAGGCAGGGCTGCGGCATCGCTGGGGCAGGGGCTCGTGGCCCTGGGGGGCTGCAGTGCACTGAGCCGTGGGCAGGGTGGGGGGAGTCCTGGGGGGCTGGGGAGGGCTAAGTGGTGAGTGCAAGTGGTATTAGTCTCTAGTGGTTAACAAGGCAAACTCTTGGTCTGCAAAGTCGTTTTTAAAATAGGGGTTTGGGTCTAAGGTGAGATTGCTTAGGGAAGCATGTTGAAACAATTTAAGAAAGAAGAAAAAAGCTTCTTTAAGTAGCAGTTAAAAAGTTAATATCACAAATCAATATATAATCATCAGATGAGGTGGACTATCATAGAAACTAAGACCTGCTGAGAGACATTTTCAGTAGTGTTTTCATAGTCATAGTGAAAACCTCTGATAGAGAAATCAGAGCGCTATGTTATAATGTTTGGCATGTTTCCCTTGTATTTCTTTTCAGTGCTCGTTACTCATCTTAACATTATGAATAATCATGTTTCAGTTTGCAATGCGTTTGTATTTCTTTTTAAATTAAGAGACTCCTGCAATGTTCCAACTTTCAGTCTCTGACTGGCACAGCAGGGGAAAAAATAACACCATATTTTGTGTTTATCTAAGCTATTTATTCACATTACTACAGCATGTGAATGTCTCATCCTCTAGTGTATACATGTTCTCACAGTAGTCATTGGCAGAGGTGGTGGCATCTCATTGAAATGAAATGTCTACACCCTTTTGTGGGATCTGGGTTGAGAAGACTTCTCCAGGTCACACAAGTTAGGTCTGAACTGGTGAACAGAACATGGGTTGGCTTGAGTCTGCATTGCTTAGCGGCATCCCCCTCTCTGTCAAATTAATCTGAAAGAGAAATAGTTACAGCAATCCCAAGTAGAGAGAGTCCACTATTGTCCAGCTAGATTTTGCTTCCTCGCTGTCTTTTGTAAGTCATTATGGACATAGCTGCAGAAATAGTCTCCCAAACCATGAGTTTGTAACCTAAACGGTGAATCGCATTTATTCTAATTAGAAATGCTGTTGTGGAATAAACCACCTGTTGTGGAGATGATTTCTTAGTACACAGGGAAAAAGAAAGAAGCGCGCCATGCTCAGGGACATGAATCTCTCATTAATCTGGTAGGCATTGTCTTAAGTAGGGATTCCCAGGGGCTCTCTTCAGCACAACACATACTGCAAATAAGTGTTTGAGAGAAGCCTTGATATTTTTCTACTTGGGCCAATTTGTACTGAGATGGAAGTATTAAAGAAGACAAACAGTCATTTAATCTTTACTTTACAGAAAAACTGAAATATAAACCAGCTGACAAAGGAAAGGCCCTTTTATTATGCAGTAGAAATGCTGTGAAAAATCCTATGTGAATTTAAAATTCAGCATTAGAAATTAAAAGGCGTAAATCAAAGTGTTATATTTCAAACAATATAAGAAATACTAGGAAGTAGAGAAGCAGGAACTTCTCATAGCTTTCTCTTGTTTTCAGTTGTTGCCTTACAACTGCAGTGTAAAAGACCCAGTTGCAAATTGAAGGCTTCCATTATTTATTAACACTCAGATAATTTTCTTCTAGTGACACTCCTGCCTGCATTTTTCAGTTGAAGTTTGTTGGGTAACATGATGTTTAAGAGGAATAACAGATGGCTGTGCAATCAGCTAGGCATCTTTTGTGTTTCTCAACTTTTATCACTTGTTAGATGTAAAAGCCCTCTGACTCAAAATGTACCTGGATTTTCTTCACTGATGACAAGTACAAATAGTTGTTTCTTCACAACAAAAATATCTAATGTTATTAACTTTTCAAAATGTTCCATGCATTTTCTGCTATCACAGTGAATTTCTGAATCTGCCTTTCTGCAGTATGGTATTGGAACGCCATGTCTGTGATGATATTTGGGGTTTCTGAGGAAAGCTTACTTCTTAAATTCTACAGCAGTTCCTTACTCTGTTGATTTCTTACCCATCTATGTAAGCAATTTCTTAATTGCTTCATAATTTCATAATTCCAGTTATGAATGCAGTGATTTTTGCTGGGATGTCTATATGGTATACCCGAATATGCTTTTACATACACACATGCAGAGTTAAAAGGAGAGAATGAGGATGGAGATTCTTGTGATCTTCTTCAGTTTGCGATAGTGTTACCTTGAGTTCCTTATAGCATCATAAAGTCAGCAAATGTATCATTTTCCTGGGCATACAAATTTTCTCCTGGGTTTCATGGGTTTTTTTCCCCATAAATTAGAGACTATCCTTCCGAAGCAAATGTTAACATTTGCAAACACTAACACTTAGGAATCATTTCATCAAAAAAGGAACCTGCAGCAAGAGAATAACAATTCTGATTGTTTCTGAAAAACTGGAATACCAGCAAACCAGGGTTAGAATACCAGAATACCTACTATTCTTGGTCGTAGGAATAAATCACTTCAGAGAACATTCTGACTTTATAGGAAGTTTGAATGCCTGGCATTTTACATCGAGTGAATTATTCCTTTGTTAATAGAATACAGTACTATTCTGAGGATAACAAGAGATGTAACCAGGATTTTGCCCATCACTACTCTAAAGCAAAGGTATAAGACTGTTCTGCAGGCCTATACAGGCAAAGCCAAGAAAACAGACCCTTTCTCTGCTACTTTCTTCTACTTTCAAAGTAAAAAAAAAAAAATGGGTCCACAGCGATGATCCAGTTTTGTTTGGGTTATTCAGTCAGATCTTCTTGTCGCTCAGATAAGTATATGGTGCATTGAACAAAGTCACGCTGAAATTTATATGAGCTGACAATCTTAATTTTATTAGACTTCCCCCTTCCAAACCCCCCTACAGGACAAGACATAAATTATGTGCAACACCATAATTTCATAGATTTAATACACGAGATGAAAAATGTTACCAAGCCCCATATGGTTGCTCCTCTTACAAATAGCAAGCTAAATCATTTTAAAGGCAAGAAAAAGACTTGGCAAAAAGGGCACAAGGAGAGAGTGAGAAAATAGCAGCACCTCTGTATCTTATGACTTAAGTCAGAAAAAAGATGATTTGTACCTCCAAAAGCCTTACTTTCTCTCTGTCCAACCCAAATGGTTTCTAAACTGAGAATGGAAAGTAGTCTGGAAACTGACACCCTGTGTTCTGTTAATAAAAAATAATATCTGGCATTCTGCTTCTGCTTTGCTCAGATTCTGTATAGAAACTTGGTAATGCCACATTGCAGATGTTGAGGTAGTCAGGGCAGTGGGATAAGAATAAGTGAGTTCTTAAAATTAGAAAGTTTCCCTTCTGATTTAACATCACAATATAACTGTGCAATACCTGAGGCTGTTCATTTCTGCATTATCACTTTGTTCTCATTATGCACCTCAATAAATACATTCTGTTCTCAAAGTTGTTCTAAAGAAAAAAACCGACAAAGCCTCTTAATCTGTCAAGGAATCACCCCTCCTTCTCAGAGAACACATGTTCATTTTTAATCTAAACAGGCAATTCTTTAAAGTCAATTTAGAAGCACTGAGATTTAATGGGTAGCTGTTTCATGTTATCTCTTAATACAACAGGGTACTTAGTGACTTTTCCCCCACCACCACCCCCTGCCTAAATATAAGCTTTATTCTACTCAAGGAGGGGTATAAAATACTTAACATGTATTTTACAGCACAAAGTGTGTTGGGAACAATGAAAATGCTGGCAGTATCAGTCAAAGTTCATTACTTCATTATTACTAATTTAAATACAAGCAAATTAGATGACTTTCTAATTAAAGCAAACAAAACCCAGAGAAAATGGCTTTGTTTTGTTGAGGGATGGAGTAATCCTGGACAGACATCTGTCACTGCCATACTGTGCAGTTTCCTTTTACAGTAAATGATGCTGTCTTTGGGGCCACAGAAGATAACATAGGTGGTGGGACTGAACTACAATCATTGAAGCAGACAATCCTCAGTGTGACTGCTTCAGGCTTAGTGCTTAAGGCAGAATTTCTAGCTATGAGTGCTGTAAGATAACTACTAGAAGGACTAAAACAAAACCCACCCCAGTTACTGAAATATTCTCAATTTAGGGAAGTTTTCTAGAATGGACGTAGAACCCAAGAAGTCCCAGCTTAAAAAATTAACTATGCTGGGTGGAAATGACCCTGAACAGAATGATTGACTTGCTAGAAATAGCACATGAGGAATTATGGCAAGAGGTGGGAAGGTTAAAAACTAAGTAGAATTGTGCTAACAGTAATATTGTAGTTTTTATATCTTATGTGCAATAACCTTTTATGAAATTTGTCATTTTATATGATTTTATGTGTATATATTCTACAGCTGCACTCCAATTCCGACAAAGGTGATGGATCAGTCAAATACATTCTTACTGGAGAAGGGGCGGGGACTATATTTATTATTGATGACACGACTGGAGACATCCATTCAACCAAAAGCCTAGATCGAGAGCAGAAGACACACTATGTGCTTCATGCCCAAGCTATTGATAGACGGACAAACAAGCCACTCGAGCCTGAATCTGAATTTATTATCAAAGTGCAGGATATCAACGACAATGCACCAAAATTTACAGATGGACCATACATTGTTACTGTGCCAGAGATGTCTGAAATGGGTAAGGAAAACAAATTGTTCTATTCAACAGTCTTTTAACAAGTGAAAATGCCACATACTGTTTGACAAAGTTGTGACACATTATTGTATTTCTGATTGTATGTAAAAGATATTAACAATTGAGAAGAGATGATAAGAAGACATCAAATGCAACCTTGTATGTTACTTGCAACATTCATATTAAGAAAACAGAACACACACACACACGAACTGTAGAAGAGAGTCACTCTTATTCTTGAATGCCTTAACAGGCATTCCTAGGCAAATGGTACTTTGCACTCTAGCAACAAGAAGTATTCATATATCCTCATTCAACTACACACTCTATGGCCTTCTCTTATGCCTGCATGAGTAGTCTATGCAATTGACAGAATTAAACAAATACAAAGGAACAGTAGTTTTCTAGACTATTTTAGACCATGGTGTCATATGTTTATTTACCTTTATTAAGTTTCTTATAAAGTGAACCGAAGTTCAAAAAAGTACTGATCTTTGGTTTTCCCTGTTAGACATGTAGTTCAGATATTCTTATTCTTTGGGGTGCTACATTATGCAATCAGTTTTCTTTATTGCTTCTCTGGTGTTGAAATTAGTTTGTAACTCTCCTCTAATAACACAACATCAAAGCTACATAACTAGTCTAGGATAGACAGATGGAAATACTACTTCTGTGCTAGATACTTTTTAAGGAAGCTTGACTGTCATAACTGGTCTTTGTGCAATATGTCTGCTGTCTTTTGTTACTGAATGGACAGTACAGATATTTACCTCATGAACACACACTTTTTACTTCTCTTTTGTTTCATAGGTCATTGTTCACATATTGCCCTTCAACTTCCCTTTTATGAATTTTCTTCTTTCCACAGTCTGTTTCCCTCTAACGGGGAATTGCTACCTCATCTTTGCTTGTAATTTTTATTTCTCCGTCGTCCCATATTTTAATATCATTATTTTTTAACATTATTATTTCTAATAGCCTGTTCTGGGTCTCTACCAGAAGAAAATCCTTATTAGCCATTCTCATTTGGTCAGTATCTAGCTACTAAAGATTTTCAGATTATAGGTCAAATATATTTTCATTCCTTAAAATAATTTGCTAATTGTTCATTGTTCTCTTAAACCATAGCTTCCTCTCAAATACTGACTTCCTTGATCTCATCTTTTACTTCTCAGAGCTATGAACATGTAGATCTCCATTCCATCTACACAGTGATGCTACTGCATATAACAGGACATGTTTTTAATGTAGAATTCCCTCTTTTAACCATCTAAGCATACTATTGCCAATATCATTCCCAAGAGAAATTTATGGAAGTACAGAAGGGCGGTATTTCTGTGAGTAATGTCATAACACCAGGACTATTTAAGAAATACACCTTTGTGGGAAGTACAGTGAGGGGATAGAGCTCCCAGTAGGAATATTGTGGGCCTATACAAAACCTGTTCAGTTGTCTTTGATAATTCACTGTGGCACAAAGCTTTACTGTTAGAGTTGCAGTTCATTTCAGTAGCATCTAAGCTCTTATCTCAATTGTCTCTCGTCACACCACAGACTGTCTTGATGTGAAATTTGTTTCTGTTATCGACTGTCTCCAAAAATGCATAACTGTTCCTCTTTCTTCAGTTTCCTTTGTCTTTAATGGAGACCATTTTAGTTAATTGATTATTTCCTTCCCCTGTGGAAGCCTTTTATTTTCTGCATAAGAAAGACAGTGGAAAGGAAATCAATGTTATCCTCAAAGTCAAAGGCAGCCAATATAATTAATTTTTATTTGCTCATTCCATTTATGAAAGTTCTCTTTTTTTTCATCCTCTCAAAATGTAGTATTCTTACATAGAAATTAGTCATGATTCTGTAGTAGTGTGAATCTTGGTATTACTGTACAACTACATTATACAAGTTACTGTTTTCCAAAGAAAAATTTGAATAGTTAGTCTGGGATGGCATTTTGGGTTATAAAACAGAGTAGATTATGGCAAAACAAGGAAGTTTTAGTGATAAAATAAAGCAGTAATGCATCTGTTTTCTAAATGAAATACTTTACTGGTTGTACCTGAGTCTATTCCACATATCTATACCTATTCCACAAAGCTTTCCTGTTGTGTGAATAAAATTGAATTTTCATATCCCACTGTATAGGCAGTCTGCTGTAGGCATACATTATATTTTCATCGCAAATTTATGGTGATTATTTTCTTTTTCCCTTATTGATTTGTTTGTGTTTATTGCATACTGAAAGCATTTTATTGTCTGCAGTCTCAGGAAGACTAATTCTATTATTGCTTCCACAGGATACATTCCTTCTGTCAACTAATGGAGCTCCCTATCCATTTTTATTAGGTTCTGTAATTAGCACATTTTTTTACATTTAGCTGCGGAGTCTATACGTAACTGAACTTCTTGTTGTTATTTTATGAATTCCTAAGGCTACTTCACTACTTCAGAAATTTCTTTTGCTTTTTTACATGGTCATTTAAAGAACTTTCAATGTTACTCTCTCTCTGTAACAGCCCTCATGCCTAGTGGCAGGTGATATTTTTGATCTCTGCTATGCTGTTCAGTTTCAGCAGCAGGTTCCTGTCTGTCTCCTCAAGAAGTTAGCTGGTATTTTTCCCACAAGTTGAATCTTTCTTGATCTACTTGTAAAAGCTCATAGGACCTTTATGGCTTTTCTTTTTTTAGGTCACTGACAAGAAAGTACAGGTAAGTTTGGTTAAATTATTTGCCAAAAACACTAGATCACAGTGTTCACTGTGGCACAAAGTGAACATATTGTTTATGCTTTATGTACTATGCTGAAAGAGCTGAAAGAAAACACCTATTCCTTGCCTTCATTGAACCTTTTTCCTAAAAGTTGGCTCAGGAACCAAGGTTTATACCTGAAATGATTTCTTCTGCAGTGTAAAAAACTCAGTTTCATTGAGCGCTATAACTATGCTCTGTTTTAAGGTTTACGAAAGAGTCATCATTATCTAAATGTAAAAGGAAATAAAAGCATCTTCAGTTAGTAAAAGTCTTCCATATCTGCTCATTTTCAGATAGCTTCAAAATGAGTGAAATACTGCATATTAAATTTTCTAGTGTGAGGTCATGCATAAGAAGAGTATTCCCGATAAATTCTACTAGGAAATTAGTAGACACACTGGACTTCCCTGAACTTCTTTTCAGGGTATTATAATATGAGGTAGTCATAATTTCAGATAATCTGCAAGACAGTATTCATGGTCTTCATAAATATGATTTGTATGAGAAATGCCTATTTATGTTCCTGTGTTGTTTGATTTTTATCTTCTAATGAAGATAGCTGACAAAAAAAAAAAAAAAGATTTTCTACAATGAGGACTTGGATCAGTATTATAGTCATTGGACTTGAAGTGTTGATTTCCTGGTGAAATCACTGTTTTCTAATGTAGAATGAAACTAAAACACGTTGTGTTGACTTAGTGTTTTAAGACAATTGTAAGAATTAGTTTAGTTAAGCAGGAAATCCCTGTGTTCATTAAACTTCACCTTTTTTCACTTGTTTTACTTTTTGTTCAATATTGATCCATTTGAGATTCTAACAGTGCAGCAAACTATGGAAAGTCATGCATACAGATTTGCATTCTCAACAGACATGTTTTATTGAACTGCCTCATTAAACATTAACAGTTTGTCTTCAGAGAGACAGATTGAAGTATTTCCCTTCAGCTTTTCTTTGATACATAACTTTACAAAATTTTTATTGTAAACATATATTTAAAAAAGAGAAAAACAAAAGAAGAGATTTTGAAATAAAACTACAATTTGGTTTCCCAAATGAAATTATCCTTATTTTTGATAGCAGAAAAAATGCAAAGCTTAGAGGGTGGTGTTCAGAGCATACAGATGTATTTTCCAGCTCTGTATAAAGCATTAGCTAAGAAAACAGAATTCCCAATATGTAATCTCTAAACTGTAGTGGGAAATCATGTGGAATGGTACTTGTACTCTGAATAAGCAGAACCTCCACTTCAGGGAAAAAAGTCTTTTTTATTGCCTAACTGGAGTGTCAAAATGCTTTCGTAGCAAAACTTTGAGGTTTTTCTTGACAGGCACTTTCACAGTAGGTGAGTGAAGAACGTATGGAAGATATGCCTCTGGGTCCAATGTTCATATCTGTTCTGAGGTCTCCAGGGAAATTAGATCCTTATTTTTTTATTAGATTATTTTCTTCAGAATTGTTAACATTAAAAACAGCAAGGCAGCTGTACCGTATACTTTTCCATCTAAATCCTTCATTACACATAGCTCAACAGCAAAAACTGATGCTGCATCTGAATGGTACAAATATATTTGGAATTGTGATTTGTCTGTCATATTGATGAGCTGAATGATGCTAACTTGGAAGGAATAATTGGAAGGTAAGGGTAGCCTCTTTACCTTTTCTCTCAGAAGGCGTTCCAACCCACAGCTTTCACAAGCTGCCTTTCCTCTGCGCTCAGCAAATCGGGCAAGAGTTTGGCAAAAGGCCAGTATGGGTGTAACTTACAAGATGCTGAGCATGCTTGTGTAATACAGTGAAAAATTAAGCATCTGATGAGCTACATTGCACTGAATGAGGTTTTGAGAGGTGGGGTGGGGGGTTGAGTTAAAACTTGTGATTCTAACTGTTCCTTTAGATGAAAAGAGAACACTTTGCCACTATTCAATACCAAATTACTATTATCTGGTGTTTCTTAGGAGAGACACACAGATGTGTTAGAAAATCACTGTGGTGCATTTTAAGGTATAATAGCATTCCATTCATGCTTAAATGACCTGTCCGCTGCTTATGTGAGATACCACCTTTCACTAGCCCCATTTCTTTGTCCCACATCAATGAGCAATACAAGCACTCTATTCTATCCCCTACCTTTTAAAATAAGGAGCAGTGAGAATGAAGTCTCTGAAGAATGGGAGAACCGTGAAATCTCAGTATTTCTGGTATTTTCTTCTGAAATGGCCAAAACCTGTTCATCCATTCCATAACCTACCTTGATTTTCTAGAACCCTGGGAAGAAGTGCAAATGGGAACTCAACCTGTTAGATGAGTAGGCAACTGTTGGTAACTTTTTTCCTGGAAGCAGGAAAATCTATAGATGAAAAGGTACAGAAGTTGCCCAGCACTCTGGGTAGCAAACTCTGGTAGGTGACTATACTGCTTGGATGGATATGTTTTTGTTGTATGCAATTAAAAAAAATAAAATCATTGTGTATGAATAACCTATTAATATTTAATGATTCCACAAGATTCTAGCATAAAATAATGAAGCCATGAATAAAGGAAAAACAACAAATTAGTGTGGGCAGGCCTTCACCCTTGAATACAAGCTTAACTAGAAGACAGAAAGGTCACAGCTTTTCCACTTCAAGTTAGAATTTGTTGCCTGGACTACAGAAATATATCATTACAGTATTTAGAGTGTAGAAGAGGGGAAAAAATGCATTTTCTGTTCTTTGAAGTGACCTGATGTGGTTTGCAGGAACTCTTCTTCTAAGTTTAAATAGCAAATAAATATGACTGAATAGATTCCTAGAACATTTTAAGAAAATTACACTATCTTTAATTCATATTTGTTTACCTTGCCACATAAACCCAAATACAGTAATTTAGTCAGTTTTACCATTAACTCTTGAATAACTATGAATAGATTACTAGCTCCAGCTTGATTTTATTACAATATTCAAATTCATCAAGATGTCCTTATATCTGCTGCGTGAATATATCTATGTATGAGACTGTATGTATTTGGCCTGTTTAGAGACCAGGAAACACTATATTTAAGTATGCAGACACGTTTGCTGTACCTTTTACTAAATCACCAGTAGAGGTACAAAAAGCAACTTTTGGTGTCCAATTTAGTGTGGCACAAATGAATGAATAGTTTCTCAAACAGTGAAGAATCCAAATCTGTGAAGATTTGCATGCTTACTTTACTGTACTTGAAGTGAGACTCCATGATTTTAGGTGTTTTTGTTGCCAGTGTACACTGAGGGTGTGCACAGTAACAAACAGTTCTGTGCAATGGAAACCGATCTATGAAGTTAAATCAGTTGGAACTGAGGATCTGATGTCCACACCATATGTTTTTGGGAAGTCTTATTTCAGATTAGCTGTTGTCTGGTCTCTGAGACTAAATGCCCATTAGCAGTCAGAAAAAAATCACATGTGCTCCTAAAGCACATCTGGTTTAGCTTCATCCACTAGTTAGCATGCTCTGAAACTGTTCCATGAGGCAAATCAAAGTACGACAAGTGGGGGAGATCAAGGGATTCAATTCAAAAGCATACTTCTCCTTACAGCCAAGATGTGAAATTGAACACCCCAGAGTGTAGGTGATGCCTCAGTGGTTAATTTAACTGAGAAGCCACTTTCAGATGCAGAATTACATGAGAGCAGCCTGTTCTGTTATTATTACCGCTGTGTTCTAATAGTAGGCCAAAGGAGTCTGTTGAAAGCAGTGTCTGTAGAAGGATAAACAAGTGGGATGAAGACTGAACCTTTATAAACTTGCCAAACTTTCATTTACTCGTTTCTTATGTGAAGTGTTGGGCAATGATAGCAAAAAAGATTCATCATTAAATGTCTTGAAAAATACAGTAAAATGTAAAATCACTTGTCTCTATTCTATCTGTGAAGTATTTACGCATTTTATTTTCTACAAAGTGTTACTCGTAAGTTATCCCACTTAGTGACATGCTAGAAACTGATGCTATTTTTCTAATGGTATTTATTAACAGCATATGAATATTTGTCGTTTGAACTCCTTTTCCTTCTAATTTGGATCCATCATTGGAATCCCAACAAGGTTCTAGTATTATTTCGTTTTCAGATCTTCGAAGGCTTCCAATAGCTAGATTTTTTGATTCCTTTAGTATCTTTTATTGATATGGGGGTGTTTATGCAAATTATTTTAAATATGCACTTCAACATTAATTTGTATTGTGGATGAAGATAATCCTGAAGTCCATAAATATGAGTTGTTTGGAAGTCTAAGCAGTATCCAAGTTTGGGGTCTGTATGCATGAACATACATAAATATGCATGCTATGTAGTTACTATTTCTGGTTTTATATATATATGTAATTAAGTTACATATACATATAGAGAGGGAAAGAGAAAAAGGTTTTTTTCAAATGACTATAGTTTTCTTTAAAAATATGATAGGATAATAACACATAGAGAAAATGTTATTAATCCCACAATTGCAGAATGGGGGGACTGTAGAGGTTTCAAAAATGCGTCTAAAAATATTTGTCCAAAAATTATATTTATTATCAATTAACCTTTCTTTTCCTGTATGTACAGGTACATCTGTTCTACAGGTGACAGCCACAGATGCAGATGACCCTACATATGGAAACAGCGCCAGGGTAGTGTACAGTATTCTTCAGGGACAGCCATATTTCTCTGTTGATCCTAAAACAGGTGTGTATTTTATATTCCTGTCAATGTGATTTGTCTAATGTGTTGCAGTTAACTAAGTCTGGTAGATAAAATCCAATGTACAAAATGCAGGTGGGTAGGATTATTTTTTTTTTTAATTCCTATTATATCCTACTTGGTTTAACGCTATGAAATTTAGGAGTTGCTATGTTTCACTGAGTACTAAAATGAGCCTACTGTGTACAGAATTAATTCTGCATCATGCCATGATATGAGCCATTCAGCCAAACTGGAATAGCATTTTTTCATCTTTTCAAGCCTCTTGTTTAGGAAGTGAATCAAGTGTGCCTAATACGTTATGATTTTAAATGCTTTGTTTTGCCTGAAGGATAGGCTTGGGAGGATTATTGAATGTGTGCTTCAACACATTTACCATAATAAATGAATATCATTCTTGTATTTATAAAACTGATGTATTGCCATTTCACTGAAAATTTGTTCTATGATTCAAGAAGTAGAATGAGCTGAAATATTTATGCTTAAGCTCTATGCATTGCCTTCTCCTTTTTTTCTACAAAGTGTAAGTTATGTATAATGAATCCAAATTGGTTTCTTTAAAGAGAGAAGAAATCTCTTTTGGGAGAGGGGGTTGTTACTAGTTTTGGATTTTCTGAAGAGCATTATCTTAAATATTAATATGAAGATATATTTTTAGTATGCATTTATAGACCTTCATAATGAGGAAATACAGTTTAAAAAAAGTACTTTTTTCATCTGAATTTTGTAACTGGTTTTCCCTATCTATATCAAAGCTTTAATACTGAGAGGAAGGAAAGAAATATAGTGATCTCTACACTTAACTATAGGGAAGAATAATGATTTTTAAAATGTGGTGAAGTGAAGTAAATACAGTGTAAATAGTTTTCATTGTAGTATTTTTACATTTAAGTGTCTTTGTGTACATTAATCTCTGTGCAACTTGGAGGTATACACTTGTTTCATTACAAGAGAAGTGTATCTGTGCCATCTCAGCTAGCTTTGAGGTTTGCTTTGAGTAGGAGGCTAGACTCGATGACCTCCAGAGGTGTCACTCAACCTAAATTATTCTATAATTTTGTGAGCTCATGTTAGAAAGGTCTAAGAATGCGAAGCCTGACAGGATCATGTTGGAGGACTATATAAGGTGCTGGGAGGCAAACCTGATGCAGGCCTGTTCATACGTACTGTGTTTTGGGAACATCTGCTGGCACACACCTTACCCAGCTGTGTGTGAATAGAGCCTAGCAGAGTACTGGCTGGCACAGGCTAAAACCACTCTGGGGTACATGTTAACAACTAAGAGGTATGGAAAATTAGTGGTACAGTGCTCAAGCTCTCTCTGCCCTTGTTTTTACTTAGAAATACAACCCTGGTCTACATTTCTGTTTCTGTTTTAGCACTCCGAGGCAATGGCCTATATTTTTTGTTTTTATAATGGTATGGAACTTGTAGTATGGAGCTGCAGTTCAGTCAAAGAAGAATCATAATGGATGTTCTCAGTATTGGGTCTGTATCACAAAAGAGAATACTACTGTTGTATCACTGTTTGTATGTTATAAAGAAAGCAGATGGGAGTGTATTTTCACTCCCCAAGCCTTAGGCTTTGACAGTGGTTTAATAACACTTTATGAACTTAAACTGTTCTTAATACGTGTATAGAATATGAAAATTCTTCTGATACCTTAGTCTATTAAAATAGCAAAAGAATAAAATACCTTACGAGGTAAGTAGACAGTGAAAGAGTGAAAAAACTGGAGAAAGCTTTTTGATTTGATAAGTTGTCTTTTTATAATTGCAGAATAGCAGTTAATTTAATTTGGCATGATATAATGGGAAGAAGTAGAACATTGGAAATGATGGGAAAGTCTTGAAGAATAGAGTGTTTCACTATGAAATTTCACTTTGAATTTCTGGGTTTTAAGACTCATTTTCTAAAAACATCACTCTTCTGAATTTGCAAGCATTTCAGTGACCTATTTTTCCTAAGGCTTCAATTGTTCAATTTCATCTTAACTATATTCTATCTGGAAGTTTTCTGAATTTACACTGACATGCACAAACTCCCTTTACAAAAAAGAAGGGCCAAAACAGGGAAAAAGAGAAAGAGAAAGGTCCCAACATTCATGACTGAATGTAATGTTTGTGAAGCCTAGGGATCTTTTATGGCTATCAGTAAAGCTTCTTGGAGCTATCAGGTGCAGCCATCAAGCTGTTCATAGCTCTAGTGTGACTACTCGTCTTAAGAAGTCTTCTGCTTCTAGCTTAGTGCTGCCTGAACTTGGTTTTAAACAACTTACTATCTGAAGACTTAAAAGTTATGGATTTTTAGGAGCTTAGTTTGGGATAGTTTAAGTAGGATTTTAGAACTCGTACATCTAAAACGTAATAGTGGGCCAGCACCAAATTACAAACTTTGAAGTAAAAAAAGCTGTGGTTTTGGCAAAAGAACATCTTTGTTAGCTTATCTGATAAAAGCTTGTCTTCACACAGCCAAAGGAGGGGAGGTGCAGTGCTGGAAGAGTAACCTGGCTGCTCTAATTAGAGACTTGAGCCTGGACTTCTCCCAGGGCTATCCCAGGAGAGCTGAAACCCATCATGAGGAGTCAACAGGAGATGCTACCCTGATCACCCTTCAGGCTGAGGGAGCTACTGCCTACAGGGGAATGGGACACATTATGGGATGCAGGGAGGAGCTTTATGGTATTGTGCTAGACTTATTCTTGGATGTTTAGAGGAAGGACCATAGGCAGGGAAAAGGAGGGATTGAGATGGATTAGGGAGGAAAAAAACAAGGGAAAAATAGAGGGCTAAGGGGATAAAAGGGGCCAGTCATGTATAAACAGGCTCTTGCTCAGCACCATTGTCTAGTTATGCCCTGTGCTTGATCAGCATGGTCTGTCCTGTATCTTACTGTGCTCCACTTCTAACTATTTTCCTGAGTAAAGGGGCTCTCTGTCAGTGTGCGTGTGTGTGTGGAGATTTAAGTGCCAGCAACTGGAGCTGGACCATGTGTCAGAGGGGCCTGTGTGTCTGTGGTGCTGGTAAACTGGAGAGTGCAGAGTGTGCGCGTATTGCATGGGTGCCTATGTCAGAGTCTCAGGCTGGAGTAGCCAGTGAGTCAGATGAGTGGCTTGGGTGCCAGGTATCCATGTGGCCAAAAGTCTGGGCCAGATACTGGAGAGACCAGAGGTCTCACAAGTCAGCTGTTGTAGTGGCCAAGAGGTCCAGATGGATGTGTGAGTGTGTCCAGGATTAGAAGGGGGTCTGTGCTGGCAGCTGGAGGGGAGCTGCGGGCCTCGCACTTGTATGTCCGGATGGCAGCAAGTGTGAAGACTGGGCACCCAGGTGCCAGCTACTGGATAGACTGAGTGTCTAAGGCAGGTTGCGGGAGGGATCCATGTAGAGTGTGTGCATATATTTCCAACTATAAGCCATCCTTCCTCCTGATGAGCTGGAGAAGGATGAGGCTGTTTGTGCCATTTGTGTTTGAGTGCTGAGTGTTTCTACCTGTGTGTCACCTGCTGCGTGTATGTGTTGCATCTGTGTGTGTGCCTCTTGGGAACACACGCTTGGCCTCACTACTGCTTCTAAATCATGGATTAAAAACAGGGAGCTGCAGAAACCTTATCTCCATCAGGCTACCAGATTTGGCAGTTCCCAACAATCTTTAGTTTTTCAGTTGATTGGCTCTAGGGCCTGTGTTTTGTTATGTTTTGTTTTTTTCCCCTGGGAAGGAAGAATTGTAAACTGTGTGTAAAAATTTGCTGCAACTATGTTGTTATGACTGTGAATGTCAGAACTACTGTCTATGCATAACATAAAATGAAAGATTTTCAAAATCCTTTGAATTTGAATGACTTTCTAGGAATTGTTTTGTATTTGTGTTTATTAATTATTTTTAGTAATTAGCTGTGTAATCAGTAATTAGTGTGACAGCCTGCGCTGGTTCATGTTTGCTTTCCTCCCCAATTGCAGCAAAATATACTGCTGAATTTTTATAAATAAGTATGTATTAATAATGTTGCTGAAAGAGAGAGAAGAAGTCAATGTCTAGATCCTAGGTGTATTTGCAAACATTAGGTGTATAGGATTATATGATTTTTTTAATCAAAATATTCAGGGAACCCCAGAAAACATGAGTCGCTTGGCCTTTTAGGGTACCATTAACCTCACTGTAAAAATAAAATAAAAAGTTAAGTTACTAGTGAAGAGTAGAGCAAATAATTTATTAACATACTTAGTACTTTAACGTGGTTCCCCCTTCCTCCTCTCCCCTCCCTGTAGTACTTTGAACATCTTTTGAAATGCCCAAATATACATGAAAACTTTTCCTGGGAGTTTGAGTTACAAATTTAATACCCCACCTTTCCCAAACTGTGAGGTTTTTTGATCTATGAACTTGATGTAGGATCTGTCCCTGCTTGTTCTTTCCTTATGTCAAGTGTGGCTCATCAACAGTCAATATTTGACTGGTAACCCAACCCTAGAAGCTCATTTTTTTCTGAGGAAACCTCAAATTAGACTGTATGCTTTTTCTAGCAGCAATAGCAGCCCCCTTTCAGTTGCCACATGCTTTGGGAATAAAAGTGAAACCCGTAGTGCAGTTCCACTGCTTACATCGTAAACCCGTATCTGGAGGACGTTAGCTACACACAACTCTTCGCAGATGCATCAATCTTTCTGAACAGGACATATAGAGTGAATTAATCTGTGGGGCATTTGTCCTTTCAAATCAGCAGTTCTGGCTGTAACTGTGATGAAATAAGAGCTTAAAACCTTCATTCATGGCAGTTTTGAATTGAAATGTAGACATTGGTGGGATGGGAGAGAAACACATTTATCATTGAATTGAATGTGAAAAAACATTAGGTATTTGTATTTATAATGATCTGCTGTTACAGCAGCAATATTAGAAAGATCTTAATCATGGATCAACTTGTCTGGGTTTTTTTTACTTGAAGATATTAAATAGTAAAGAAATATGTATGCCTATTTATGAAAGA